GCTCTTTTTGCGGCCTAGTATATGATCTATTCTTGAAAATGTTCCATGTGTACTTGAGAAGAATGTGTATTCTGCTGTTTTTGGGTGTAGAGTTCTGTAGATGTCCGTTAGGTCCATCTGTTCTAATGTGTTGTTCAGTGCCTCTGTCTCCTTAGTTATTTTCTGTCTGGTTGATCTGTCCTTCGGAGTGAGTGGAGTGTTGAAGTCTCCTCGTATGAATGCATTGCATTTTATTTCCCCTTTTAATTCTGTTAGTATTTTGTTTCACATATGTAGGTGCTCCTGTGTTGGGTGCATAGATATTTATAGTGGTTATATCCTCTTCTTGGACTGACCCCTTTATCATTATGTAATGTCCTTCTTTGTCTCTTGTGACTTTTTTTGTTTTGAAGTCTATTTTGCCTAATACAAGTACTGCAACACCTGCTTTTTTCTCCCTATTAGTTGCATGAAGTATCTTTTTCCATCCCTTCACTTTTAGTCTTTGTATGTCTTTGGGTTTGAGGTTAGTCTCTTGTAGGCAGCTTACAGTTGGGCCTTGTTTTTTTTAGTTATTCAGTGACTCTATGTCTTTTGATTGGTGCATTTAGACCATTTACACTTACGGGTGATTATTGATAGGTATGTACTTATTGCCATTGCGGGCTTTAGATTCATGGTTACCAAAGATTCAAGGATAATTTCCTTACTATCTAGGAGTCTAACTTAACTCACTTAGTATGCTATTACAAACACAATCTACAGGTTTTTTATTTTCCCTCCTTTTCTTCCTCCTCCATTCTTTATATATTAGGTATCATATTCTGTACTCTTTGTCTATCCCTCTTTATTACCTCTGGTGACAACTATTAAACCTTAGGAATACTTCCATCTATAGCAGTCCCTCCAAAATGGACTGTAGAGATGGTTTGTGGGAGTTAAATTCTCTAAGCTTTTGCTTATCTAGAAATTGTTTAATCCCTCCTTCAAATTTAAATGATAGTTTTGTCAGATAAAGTATTCTTGGTTCAAGGCCCTCCTGCTTCATTGCATTAAATAGATCATGTTATTCCCTTCTGGCCTGTAAGGTTTCTGCTAGAGGTCTGATGATAGCCTGATGGGTTTTCCTTTGTACGTGATCTTATTTCTCTCTCTGGCTGCTTTTAATAGTCTGTCCTTATCCTTGATCTTTGCCATTTTAATTATTATATGTCTTGGTGTTGTCCTCCTTGGGTCTCTTGTGTTGGGAGATCTGTGAACCTCTATGGCGTGAGAGACTACCTTCTTCCCCAGATTGGGGAAGTTCTCAGTGATTGCTTCCTCAAAGACACTTTCTCTTTTTCTCTCTGTTCTTCTTCTGATACCCCTATAATATGAATATTGTTCTGTTTGAATTGGTCACACAGTTCACTCAGTATTCTGTCATTCTTAGAGATCCTTTTTCTCTCTGTGCCTCAGTTTCTTTGTATTCCTCTTCCCTGATTTCTATTTCATTTATCATCTCCTCCATTGTAACTAATCTCCTTTTAAAACCTTCCATTGTGTTCTTCAACGACTGGATCTCCGTACTTAATTTGTTCCTGAGTTCTTGAATATTTTTCTGTACCTCCATGAGCATGTTAATGATTTTTATTTTGAAATCTCTTTTAGGAAGATTCATTAGATCGATTTCATTAGAATCTTTCTCTGGTGTTTCATAACTTTGCTTTGAACCAGGTTCCTTTGATGTTTCATAATTTGTCTGTGGTGCCCTCTAGTGCCCAGAAGCTCTCCTCTCTGGAGCTGCTCAGCCCCTGGATCAATGTCAGGGGTCACAGAGGAGCAGTGTTGGTGCTTGGGGAGAAGAAAGAGCTGTTTCCTGCTTCCCAGCTGCTATGCCTGTCTCCACTGCCAGAAGCAGTGGGCCAAACCAACAGGTGTAAGCCTCTATGCTTTGTGTTTGTAGCTGTCATAGGTGGGGCTTCCCTTCGGCTGGCCTGATGCCAGGGCAGGAATTGCTGGTTTGTGAGCCTGAGCCAGTGCAGACTAGTTGGGAAGAAGGCACAGCAGGCTGCGTATCATGGTGGGGGGACTTGGAGCTATGTAGCCAGCTAGGGGGATGGAGTGCCTGAAGATCATTTAAGCTCCCAGCCTGCAGGGCAGAGTGCACCCAGACAATTTTGTCTACCTGTCCTTTCTCCTGAGCAGTAAGCTCTGTGCAGTCCTTACCCCTTTAGCAGCCCTCTCGCTGTTAGGAAGTCTCTGACTGCCAACCTAGATCAGCCAGATATGAATTCCTATTTTCCACAAGAGGCTGGAATCCCTGTTTCTCCAGGTATTCGACTGCTCCTGTCTTAGCTTTCCAACCCCACTAATCACCAGAGCACCATGCAATGTAGGTTCATGCTCCCAGAGCAGATCTCCAGGGTTAGGTGTTCAGCAGTCCCAGGCCTCCACTCCCTACCTGCTCTGTTTCTCTTCCTCCTGCCAGTGAGCTGAGATGGGAGAAGGGCTTGGGCCCCGCTGGGTCACAGCTTTGGTACATTACCCTGTTCTGTTCCTTAAGGTCTGCTCTTTTCTCCAGGTATATGCAGTCTGGTACAACCTGCTTTCCTGTTGCTGTTTCAGGATTAGTTGTATTAATTATATTTTCATATTATATGTGGCTTTAGGAGGAGGTGTCTGTCTCACCTCTCACGCCACCATCTTTAATGCAGTGTCAATAATTATTTTTTACTTTATTGCTATACTATAACTAAAAACTCAATCTACCATCAAAAACAAAGCACTTCTGAAAATATTACTATGAATGTATATTCAAAAATTTAAAAAAAACAAAAAATCAAAAACACCAAAGGTTGACCAGGGAACTTGAAAAGTCTCAAAACTGTTTTGAGGTAAAAGGAGGAATTAGCCTCTGCAGGTATATACTTTAATTGGGAGAACATTCATGTCAGTGTGTGAATTGTTGAATATTTGCTTACAAATTTACTCACATATACTATATATGCCATAGAGATGTATTTAATTCTACTTTTTCAGGGGAAAAGTGAAAATGCCCCCAGCTTTACAATCTGTGACCAAGCGCTAGCAGAGCACGGGCACAAACTGGGTCAGCTGTGCCAGGCAGCCTCGTGCCGGGCTGAGCATGGGCAGTGCCACTGTGATTCCTGCGGGTGGCAGGCAGGGAGGGAAGTACCCACAGACCGCATCCCCGTCAATAGCATGTCATAAAAATAGCAAGTTCTCAGCAAACACTTGGAAAAGACAACAGGAACGAAAGAAGAACAATGGAAAGGATGAAAGAGTAAGGGAATTTGCCGGGAGGTATTTGTGGAAATTAGAGGGACAAGAGGAAACAGATAAATGGAGAGGCAGGTGTGAAAAGGCAGCAAGAAATACCTCAGTTAATGGGTAACAATCCATCTGGTCACCATTTCTCCCATTTCATAAGGTACTTCTTCAAAGTTGTATTTTGTTTTTTTTTTTTTTTTGAGAAATACCTTATTTACACAGAGTATCCTGTTCTAGGTGATCTTGGAGAAGCCCGAGCAGGCCCCCAGGTGTCCACCCCGACCTGGACCTGCCTTTGCAGTGATCTGGAACTCCTCGTGCTCCTTCAGCAGCTCCTGGGTGTGCTGCACGCTTGAGCCCGTGGAGGTGTGCGTGGACAGGTAGAACTCCCCATTGTCATGGATCCACTCCAGAGCCTGGGGAGGGAAGGAATGGGAATACGGTCACGGCTGAGCACTCCTTGGTACCTCATCTGAATGTGGGGTCCCATGCCAAGGCGGTCACACACCAGGAGGGAGCCCCGCCAAGAGAGACAAGCTTCTGAAATAAGCCTCACAATTCCACAACTGAAAAAAAAAAACGACATTCTAGAAAATTATAATCACATCACTTGCGTAGCAACAATAAGTTTAAGAGTTTCTTAGAACCATGAACCTAAAGGCATAATAAAAGTACAATTTATAAGATCCTTTTTCAAGAATACTGAGAAAGTGTGAATAAATACTGAGACATTCATGCCACTAAAACTTTAGAACCTTCTAGGGGTGGTCTAACTAGAAGAAAAAAAGAAAGATGCAAATTCCCAGCTTTCAAATGTACGACGTGGGCCTTTCTTCCTACTCCCGCCTTCAGTGAGGACATAGGTGCACACCCATTCACCCGCCGAGGCCCCATCCAAGTATGCATGAACATGCGCCGCTGGGGACATGCTGGCGGAGGACACGGCTGGACCCTTCTGGGTGTAGGAGATGGATGGCTGCACCTGGAGAGAAGGGGGCCAGCCAGGGTCTGGCTGCACCTGAGTAACACAGTTCTAACTCCTATGTGCCTTCATATTTGTGGAGGGAAAGAATTTTTTCCCTTCTATTTCCATATAGCTGAAGTGAAGTCAGACTTAAACATATACATGGGAAAAAGCAAATCTATGGAAAAGAAGCATCAAAATGTACAAGTTTTTACATTTGCCTTTTATAATCTCTAGGACATCCACTATGATTTGCTGGCCTTAGAATAGAAACACGCTATCTCTGTTAGATCTGTCACAGCATTTATGAGGTTTTAGAAGAACAAATGGAAGGAAACCATGACCCGGATTACTTGCCACACAGCTCACTGGCTGGGAATTACTTTCTTACACCTAAGCATGGCCATCCCATCTCTGGAATAGTGTTAACACTGATACTGCATCAAGGCAGAAAGTCGTTTTTCTCAACTGAGTAAAGGTCCCCATTTTCTCATTCATACAGCAGAAGCAAGTGCAGGGTGAGGCACAGGGTGAGAGTCACTCAGGCCTGCAGACTGGGAGGGAGGAGAGAGCTGAGAGAGGCCCGCAGAGACAGATGAGATGGGGAGACTGTGCAGGAAAGGTGGGCCAGCTGAGGGGTTCCCAGGAGCGACCTGCAGGTTGGGAGGAGTGGGAAGAAGCTCTGCAAGCGGCGGGGCAGGAAGGGGGCTGGAGGCTTGGGGGGACAGCTTGGGTCTCTGTCTGGGGCCGATGGGCTGTCATGTGGGCAGGGGATTGGAGTGGAGTGAGTGGCAGCAGCTGCCCTGGGAAGCTAAGTGGCTCAGAGGGTCAGACAGGACATGGCAGGATGGCTTTGGAGGTGGAGAAGGGGCAGTTTGACCCACGTGGGAGGTGTGTACCCCTGGGGCTGGGAAGCAGTGAAGGAGATGAAGGAAAGACAGGAGTCAGGAGCTTCATGCCCTGTAAGGGGTGGCAGGGTGTGGGGATGGGATCAGGAGTCCAGTTCTGCCCTTGGCAAGGCCTCGTGGAGAGATGCCAGCGAGGTAGCTGGGTGTATGAATGTGGAGACCAGAAATGCAGGTCAGGGCTGGGGGTTACCAAAGGAGGAGCTAAAGAGAAAGGAAGGAGAAACAAGAGCAAGCTGCAACTGAGCCTGGAGAAAGCCAGCGTTCAGAAGCAGAGACAAGGAAGACGGGCAGCAGAGAGCCTGGTGGGGGAACAGCCACACAGTGGCCTGCAAACCCGAGCGCTGGGCCTCGCCAGGCAGACCAGGGACTGGATGTCCCCTCTCCACAGTCCCATCAGTGCACTGCATCCAATTAAGCCCACGATGCCATCCTGAAAACTGCAAATGAACGAGAGCCCTCAGAGACTAGTCTGCTATAAGCAACTGATACCTCCTATAGGACCAACCACAGTACAGAACAGAACCCAACAGGGCTGCAGGGCCAGAAGGTCATCATCTGTAATGGCCTAAACCTGATGTTATTTTTGACAAATGAGCTGGCTTTAGGAAAAAGCAAAAACACATTCTATTCTTTTTCTCTATCAAGGAAATTATTTATAATCTTGTTCTCTTTAGCTTTATGATTCCTTGTCTTTCAACAGAGAGAAAACATAGAAAGATAGGCGAGAAAAGAATAAGAAACAATTACTAATTAGAAACAAAGTCAGCCCCCAGAAATCTGAAATATGGTTGAACTATCTTTAAGTAAAATGTTAAAAAAATGTAACTTAAACATTAGGAATACTACTGCATGCCACATCTGTTGGGAATATGGTTAACTACACCCAGTAAGGTCAGCCAAGGTGAGAGAAAGGCCGAGTCATGGCGCCAGGCCTGGGGTCCATGAACTCCAGTGCACTGACCCCTAGGGAACCACTCAGTGCTGAGCACCCGGCTGCCCACTGCGAGACTAACATTTACCAAACTAGGACCAATGCTTTCCAAGTGGGAAACGTGTGCTGAGAAAAGTTTAATATTTCCTGGGCTAAAAGATGGCATTGAATGCTACTGGGAGACAGGCCCATGTTAGGTTGCCAGGTGGACTCGGAAGACAATCCGGGTCTGATGTGGGGACATGAGGGGCCGAGAGTAGTGAAGAGGCCCCAGTGACTCTAAGCTCCTTGATGTGGAGGGCATGGGATGTTCACAGGTGTTCTCTCCTCCACTACCCGATCTGCTAAATTCTGCAGGGATGGGTTATGGGTCGTATGCTGCCATGGAAGACAGAGAGAAGTGGCAAGAACCTCAGCGTTCAAGTGAGGGGTCAGACAGACACTCCCCACAGTGATCTTCCATGACCGACCCTTCTACAGGGAGAGGCACTTTACTCCAAAATGGTTTCAGAAGGGGAGCCTTCAGACATATCCTTGATGTCTGTGCATTAGCCAATTGCATGACTATTTTTTGACTGCACTGAATTACTAGAAATTCTGTCATGTCTCACTTTAGCTTAGTTTATCTGAAGAACAAAAGTTTATCTTGAAAATATATATATAGTGATACAAAAAACCTCGCACCATAGTATTTAACAAGTACAGAACCTAGGTTCCCCCATGACTTTAAATCATAATCACGACTACTGCTTGTACTTGACTCTCCTACATGTGACACAGTGGCAGCAGAGGCAAGCTGTGTGGCCACACTTGTTCAGGGTCAAAGTCACCAAGCAACAGCCTTTTACTATGTTGTGGGGTTTTCTTTTTACAACAAACTAAATTAAAAGGCGTGGCTGTTTTCACCATTTGAAAGTGGTTTTTGAAACTGCAGAAATGTCAAAAGCTGCCCATTTGACGATGCTGGTGTACACAGGGTGGAGCGCTGGGGAGCCAGACTAACAACTGACCTGCTTGGCACTTCGTTCAAAGACCACGTACTGCTGGCACTGGTCCAGCCGTCTCTTTCTCATGGTCCAATAATGCAATACCCTGTTCTCCCGCTGGAAGAGTTCATTCAAGATGTCTGAGAGAATAAAGAGAAAGAGGTATGTTGGTGCTTACAACCAGTGAAAACACCTGCGAAATCCCATTCATTTTTATTTAAAGGCTTTTTATTCAAATGACAGTACAAGACAGAATATTAAGGGCCACACTGTTTGCCCAACGTTCTCCATCAGCACATCAACCAGACCTCTCCCTATTCTCTTACCCCCATTTATTAGTGTATGGTTGAGATCATTGGAAACTTAAAGTTGGCCTTTAATCTCTCAGGTTAGCTGGATTAGTGGGGTGGGCTAGTGCATCCCCTGCTGGGCACTTTGATAATGGCTGGAAAGACATTAGCATTAGATATTTTGTTCAAGAGCATTAAAACCTTCCTATAGAGGGGATTTAGTACATATTTTAGAACATATGTTAAAGTGGTGGAATACTAGAAGAAAACAGAGGTGTTCTTCTTTAAAGTAAAAAACAAAACCATAAGCCATTAGGAGAAGGAAGGAGATGAAGCAGAGAAGCATGGAGCTAACAAGGCTAAAAAACCCTTGATTCCATAAAAATATAAAATATCATAACCAAACAGTAAGTGCCATGAAAACATTGCACCAATAAAAAGCCAGGAAAAACTGGGAAGATAGAAGACAGAGACTAATTTACTTACTGGTCAACAGAAAAAGGATGAACAATCCGTGAGAAAAATAAGCACAGCATATATAAATGCAAAGGCCACAATTTTCAGAACATGGCCACTAAATACAGAACCACTTTCAACCTCACCCAACAATGAGCCACCTTTCGCCATTTTCCTGGTAAAGACTGGTGCCATCCTGTGTGGAAGGGGTAGGCATTGAGCTACTAAGGAAGAAAAATGGAGCAGAATTTTTGCAGGGTGACTGGCAACCACACTGGAAGTGTGCATACCTTGGAACTAGTAATTTTTCCTTCAGAAGGACAGGGCTTACGTCAAACTGATTTGCACTGTTTGCATGAACACTGAGGCAAAGTCTGGGAAAATTGGCATTGGTGTATGCACCCACGAACTGAGGGACAGGTTAAATCAGTTACAAAATCTCTCTACTAGACTTGAAAAAGCACAGAGCAGATCTTTAAATTCTGATATAGAACAGGGGCTAGGACATTATTACGTGAAAGTAACAAATGGAAAGGAAAATACAGTCCCATTTGGGAGTGAATAAAAAAGTGGGATGGGTAAGTGGACTCTGCCTGTGTCTGTTTCTCTTCGTATTTATATGCACAGACAGAGTGCACAAGTCTATGATGGTGGTTACCACTGTCAAAGGAATTAGGTAAATTGCATCCACTTGTACACTTTAAAAATGTTTTACAGTGAGTCTGTTTTACCCTGAAGTTTATAAAAATAAGCAGATTAAAAACTTCTGAAAAAAAATTCCCAAGACTGAAATTCTAAGTCAAATAAATGGTACCTAAGATATAACTTAATCATATTGAAAAACCTTAAAAATACTAAGTTTTGCACAAATATTTACTGAGTTCCCAGAAGGCTGAGCTCTCTGTGAGGAACGAGAACCAGTGACTGATCAGCCTGGCGCTCATGTTATATGATCCTCATTGACAAAGTGAACTGGTTTAATGAAACCAAACTTTGAACTCTGAGGCCTGTCAAAAAACTAAGCCACTTAAATGAAAATATCACACATAAAAATTAATATAAGCCAATGGTCTTTCCTAGTCTCTTATCTCCATAGTGTCTGTCTGGGGCAGGCCTGAGGGGGGTAGGTAAGCAGCAGGGCATAGTGGCAGCTGCCTTCGTGCAACAGGGACAGGAGCCCACCTGGGACTCCTCAAACTCCTGAGCGATCCCCTGGGGTCACCTGTCTCTTCTGGCACCATGGCCCTGACGTGGATTTGCTGCACTGTCCCATGCATAAGCCTTTGTCCTGTTTGTATATGGTGAAATAAATGTTCTTTTTCCATGCATCCAGCATGATGATAAACATTTTGCTACTGTCCATCTAGTGAATGAGTACATGCCACGTACTCTCCTCTCTCACATGCACACACCTGTCCCATAGTACAACCTCGGAGGGGCCGTGACCCCTTTGATCAGAGGAAACAGTGTGGCCAACAACCAAAAGCAGCACTGAGAGTTGGGAGAACGGAAATGGTTATGAAACGAGCCAAGTAAACTGATGGCCAATACAAATAACTTGCTGGTGATGAAGGCTCGTTTCTGCTGGAAAATGACTGCTCTTGTTACTCATTTTCCCAAGAGAAAGGCCCCCTGGCTAATAAATATAAATCTCATCTGTAGAGCTTAGAGGGTTTTACCAGTGTGATAGACAATCACTGGGTGACATCTGACAGGTGAATCTTGATGACCAGGGAGTGCACGATAATGTAGGAAGTTTTTACAAATCATATAGTTTTAAAAAGCATGAGAAGACCCATTTGTTAACTGATTATTGCAATTTTTTCCTCATAAAACCCAACTAAGAGTGCAGGTTGTGTGACCCCAGCCTCTTCATCTGTTGGTGCCGACCCCGAGACTCATGCAGAGGATCAAAGCTGACAGAATGGTGCCTTAGTCAAGATTGTTTTAAACAACTCTTATTTTCTGAGAATCTATTTCCATGTCATTTCAACTCAACTTGTAAGAAACAAAGAACAAAAAAACCCCAAAAAACCCTATGATTAAATTTAAGTTTAAAACTATGTAACACCCTGTATGTACTTTCATTATAAAATACTCAATTGCAACCCTATAAAGCAGGAATTACTGGTTCCCTTCACTTACATCCACATCAACCCTATTTATAGTTATAAAATTTTCCCTGATCTTTTTTTGTACATATGAGAAAGCATCATTTCATAGATTCTTATGCTCAAATGATATCAAACTATATATTATTTTGCAATTTGCTTTTATTAATGATGCTTTAAGTACATAAAATGATAACATTTTACAGCAACAATATTGGTATGTAACTGCTTAATTTGAACTTTTAATAATATTGTGTCTCTAGATAATTCTGGTTTTCATTTTTGCCCAATAAAATACTTTCACTTGTTTTGACAGTCAATGCCAATATACATCCTGAATTTTGTATTTTCTCCATTTATATTCTTAAATATTTTTCAGTAAAATACCAATCTACATATTTGTTCAATATCTTATTATTAAACTAAGATAATCAGTGAGAATTTTAATAACATGAAATGGACATTCAAAATGAAGCCCAAAACAAGATTACAGAACATGTCTTATCCAGCTCCTTCTATTGCCTATCAGTACACCGACTTCGAGCTGTACTCACTTTTTACTTGTTGTTCAGGGGCTTTGATATGTGTCACCATTCCCGGCATGTTCACACTATTCCTATGCAGGTACTTCAGGAAGACATCTGCGTTTCTTCTAGCAAGTGTGCAAGCCTACAAATATCAGAGAGCAATGTGTTGTTAAGGTGACTTACACAAACATGTATTCTAAGTATATGTGAGTGACATATGGCTCTACATTGTTACCTAAAAATATTTGTCTGGTTAAAGTGGGGCTTGGAGAATAATACATAGGTTAAATCCTATTTTAATTTAAAAAAAAATCTCTGACTTGGGGCCCTTGCTCTGAGGAAGCCAGCTACTTTGTTGTGAGTTGCCCTACAGAGAGGCCCATGTGGCTGGGGACTGACGGTGGCCGCTGGCCTGACTCCAGAGAGGAAGTGAAGTCCTTTCCTAGTTCAGGTTTGAGGTGACTGCATCCTTGGGAGAAACCCTAAGTCAGAGGACTCAGCAAGCTGTGCCTGGCTTTCTGTAAAAGGCAGACAGTAAACACTTCCAGCTTTCCAAGTCATATGGTCTCTGTTGCAACTACTCAACCTGGCCACTGGAGAAGCCAGCAGTCACGGATGATACACAAATGGATGAAGTGGACAGGGTCAGCATTCAGGTCCAAGTTTGCCAACCTCTGGTTTAAGGCATCAGGTTTTGGGGTGGTATGTTATGCAGTGTTATTGTGGTAATAAATAACCGGTATTATATTGTTACAAGCCAAATAAGTAATTTTTATTAATATACTAAAAAATAAGAGTTTTAGGTATAATTTAATTATATATGAATTGGAAATATCTTACTCATATATTGTCCCAGATCCCTGGAATTAATCTTTTCTTCAAGGAGCTCCGTGTCCTTCTGGTAAATGGTATGCAGAGACCATTGTCTGGGTACCACACTAGATGCTTGGTATCACTGCCCTGGTCATTGTTTTGAGGCCTTTTCAGTACATGGAGCTGGGAAATTTTTTTCTAATTAAGAAAAAACTAACCATGAGGCTCTACTGAGAAACCTGAAATAAGCTGCTGTACCAAACATATATATGACAAAGCAAGCTTGAAAAATTTCTCATTTAAAGCTTCTCAGAGTGAAAACTTCCAGCCAAGCCTAAAATGGATAAAATTTTTCCTGACACAACATTTTTTGATGAAGTATTCATAGTAATCCTGCAAACTACAGGTATGTCAGACGGCAGGCTCTGTAGAAGGGTGTGTGAGCTGCCACACTGCATGTGGCTCTGCTAAGGGCAGGACAACTGACTATGAAAAGGTAAACAACTTTGACTGACTGAAACACCCTGAATATATTAAAATCCATCATGATAGGAAAAAAGGTTAACCATATGTAGAGGTTGCTAGGGCACCAGCTCATCACTCTAAAAATCCTATAGACAAAGTGAAAGCATCGAGCATTTACCTCTACTTTAGAGTCACTGAACAGCTGAGGAGGGAATAAGCCCAGCCAGTAGGGCAGAAGGAATGCCAGAATCTCAGCATTTTACAACTCCTAATGAAACAGCATCACTGCCAGCTACTAAACATATTAAATGAAAGGCAGATGTGGATGAACTGGACTCAACACATCTGAAGCACTAATAAATCCCTCCTGCAGAGACCTCCTGAGCCTCCTGATACAACGCAGGGGTGCACACTGCGCCACCAGCAGGTCATGCTGAGTGTGCACAAGCCCACATGCACCTGAGGCTGATCAAGGCTTGCAACCTAACCAACACATGTTCCGGGAATCCAGGATGGTTTTGAATGACTCCACGGAATACAATGACCAAAATCCATAATGGGGAAACTCCACAGTATGAATGAATGACTTCCTCAATTAATGTCAGTGGTAATGAAAGGGAGTGTGGTGTTTTGATTAAAAAAATATTTGAGAGAGATATTAATCAAATCATTGTATGGACTTTGGTTTTTGGTTAAAACCACATATAAAAAGACATTTATGGACAATTAGATAAATTTGAACATGACTGGATTTCAAATAAAGTAAGTTACTGTTAGTCTTTAGGATTCGATAATGGGGTAGTGGTTATGTTTTAGAAAGGTAGAATTTAATGTTTAGATACAAATTGAAGTATTTAAAAATAAAATAATGTAATATCTAGAATTTAAAATAACCCAGTGAGGGTGGGCATACTCCCACATGTTGATAATTCTAAAGCTGGGTGAAAAGTATACAATGGTTTATTACCCATTCTATTTTTGTATACATAAACTTTTTATTATGAGAGTTTAAGGATATCCAATACATAAACACTATAGAATCTTAGTTGAATAAAGAATCTGAACAGGTTTATGATCATTTTTGCTTTATGATTTTATTTATCTTAATTATTAACTAACTAGTATTCAAAATTGTTCTATATTTAATGGATTTCAGAGAAAGAGGGGTAAGTTATTAATGATTCCAACTCAAATTATCCTAACAGTGGTCAGCATTTCCTAACTTAAAATACCGATGACATGTAGGGGAGGGGCTTTCAGGTCCTGTTTGAAACAGTTATACTTACTGACTCTGGGTGAGTTGTTTCCCACCCTGATTTGCTTGAAAAGAAAATTACTGTGGTGGAAACTCACATAAGTTTCCTGATAGAATTTTCAAAGAGTTACAATTTATTCTCCCAGACTAAACAAAAACTCTTTCTGTCAGGACAGACTATCACCTTCAGAAATGAAACAGAAATTAAATGTTACAGGAAATGGTGCCAGAGGGGTCAGAGTGCTGATACAAAGAGAAAAACTAAACTTCATAAAGCAACAATAAACAGTAAGCACCACACCTATTTTTAACAGGTCTGAATGGCAATAAGCAGAAATTTCTCAAGAGTAGAAAGAATGCAATGGAAACATTCAATGTCAATGTTTCTAAACACTGTGACAACTTTTTTAAATTGCTTCAAAGCACATCAGTGACTTATGTGTGAATATATATGACAAAGCAAGCTTGAAAAATTTCTCATTTAAAGCTTCTCAGAGTGAAAACTTCCAGCCAAGCCTAAAATGGATAATGGATAAAATTTTTCTGACACAACATTTTCTGATGAAGTATTCGTACTAATCCTACAAACTACAGGGGTGTTACGGGTGTTCCTGCTTCGCCACTGCTCTACACTGGGCTCATACTTCTGAGAACAGTTTTTAGTCCTAAAAAGGCTGAATTTCCAAAAGAAGATTATTTTAAGCTATAGGCATTTTGTTTCATCAAATCAATCAGTGTCTCTCTGTGTCTGTTTAGAATCATTTGGTATTGTGACTTCCACCCATTCCTGGTCACACTGACTTCTAGCCCTTTCTCTGTGATGGAAAAGACTTCCAGAGTTCCTCTGACTCATCTGTGTCATGTTGCACACAGGGGCAGCAGGGAGGCATGTCGGGGGCTCCCCTGGAAAGTGAGTATACAGTTTTTTGAGTGGTGGTTTAGACATTCTCTACCATTTTGGGGGGAACCTCCCAGACTGGTGTTTACTGCAGAGCGGGGCACGCCGCCCCAGCCCTGGAAGCCAACTCTGTACCTTCAGGAATGCTTCCTTTTGTTCCAAATGCTTGCTGATCATGGGGGTGACATGGTCTGTCTCAGAATTGGGGCCCAGTTTGTCAGCTCCCCCACACCAGTCCTCTTCTCTCTTGTACTCCTGCTCCAGGCTCTCGAGGACACTGCAGACCTGTGTGCAGAAGAGAGTTGCAGGCTCCTTAACCTTTAACTGCTATTTGGTGTCTGAAGGCACAGATGAGCATCTTTGGAGCATTTTCAGCACGAGTCTGGGGATAAAAGTGCTCCCCCAGGACGAAGGGCATCAGAAGGAACCATGGGCTCTGCCTCACATGAAGGCAAACGCAGGATCAAAGTAGGCAGGCCATTCAGAATAAGAACACATTTCCTGTCTCTCTCTGGCTGACATGTTTCAGGTCATATATTTAAATAAGAGGAAAAGGCATGTCTTCTCAGCTACTTTCCAACCCATTATTTTTTGATACCTAAAATAATCTCAGTTCTAGAATGCCTCTTCTCTCTGTTGACTTGGAATTGACTGGGGGTAATGACTGAGTTGTAGAGTAAAATTAAGCTCAAAATAAAACATTAGTTGGGAGCCTGGGGGCGAGCCCCCCGCCCACCTGCTCAGAGGTTTTGTAGAAGGCTACGGATGCGTTCACAAGCTTGAGGCGGTCTTCCATCTTGAGCATGAGCTGCTGCCAGTGAGAGGCCACCTTCTCAGCACAGTCCCTGATCATGTCTGTGTCATAGTGGTTGGCCTGCAGCATGGCTTCTGCCTTCTGCTGCACCTGCAGGGCACTCTGATGGGTTTTCTAAGGCGAGAGAAAGAAAGGGGAAGGTTTATTTAATGGGGCAGGGGCAGGGGCTGGGGGCCACACATTTCCTGGAAAGGAATTCAGAAGGCTACAGTCATGTTCTGTTTGCTTTTACAGAAATAGCTTCAGCTAATACTCATTAGAACACTTCTAAAAACACAGCAGACAGCTCAGTACAAAAAAAAAGTTTTTGTGCTTAGCAACAACTGCACTATTTAAATTAATTACCTAATGAAGGATGAAATGCATTAAGACTTTACAGAATGGGTCTAAGTAGTAGGGTTCTCAGCTTGAGAAGTAGCAAGAAAACTCTTAGTAGCCAGTATTCCTAAAAAGCTGTTGAAATGCTCCATTTGTTTTTCCTGTTGATCCTTCTTATAATAGCAGCTAGAGGCAAATGAACAAGTGGATAAAGGTGGCTAAAGTGCATGCTTTTTATTTTCATTTTTATTGTAAACTTTGGATTTGAGTAAAAAGTTCTCAAGAACTACTTTTTTTTTCTTTTAAAGGGAAACACAATCAAAAGCTAAGAATGAACCAACTGTGTTATCTAGAGGTCTATGCCATGTAACGAATCTGTCAAAATAACATGGCAAATCCAGTAACAAGTCCTGCTCATTCATCCCTCACTAGAAGATTCTATGAGGGATCAGAGGTCAAGTTCTCAGTGAAGAACCAGAAAGCCAGGAAGCATAGCAGTCAGGAGGAGTTACATGAGTCTCTGTGGACACAGCTTCTTTCCAACTTCCAGCAAAATTGTGCGTTTCACCTGAAAAGGTACTAATGGTTTCAAAAAATAGTGTATCCAACATAATCCTTTCCTTTACCCAAACTGTGACACACATTGGCAATTTACCAGAAATCACGTGGCAAAGTGTACAACTTTCAAAAGATGCTAAGTCTGGGCTTCATGAAGGAGTGTACATGTGTGTTTACTGGCCCTGAGCACTGACAATAAATTAATGTAGGAATGAACTGATGGTAATTTCTGTGGCCTCTGCCTTTGGATGACAGTATGTAACAAGGGCAGGAAACAAATTTTCTGGAATCAAATGCTCTTTTTCCCTTGATTTACCTTGAGACCACCTATAATTAACTAACTCTCCCCCTAAAACACTATAGAAATAATTAATCAAAATGTTGTGTGAGTAGAACTGAGCAGGCCTGCCACAGGCCCGAGGCATGTGCTGAAGCCCTGGCACGGCACAGCCTGCCGTCAAGGCACGAAGTGCTCTGCTGAGCAACACTGGTTTTAATCAGGGCAGGGGGAGCGCTGTGGATGGCAAGGCTTACTGGTCACAGTGAGTGCCTGAAGTGCCTCTGGCTCTGGGGAGCCGCCCAGAGCACTCGGCTTTGTCCTGGCCGGCCCCACAGAGGAACACGGCTACCAATCCTGCCCAATACTGGAAACCTCCACTGAGACTCCAGCCTGCGCCCCTCCTGGTGCCCAGGTGTTCCTGACGGGGCAGGGAGCATCCCTGCTGTCAGGTCACCCTGGCTGAAGGCAGGTGAACTATTACTTCCCTGGGGTTACCAGGCTGCCCCCTTCTCCTGTAATACACTGTAGATGTGTAAGTGCTGCCATTTTGGGTCCTTTAAACCCCATTTGGCTTGCAGGATCAGAACCACATGAGGGACTTAACAGACTGGCCCTGAGGTTGGAGAGACCACCTCGGAGGCAGGACCCACTGCCCTACCTCAATGGCATGCTGGAACTGCTCGTGCTCTCGCTGGAGCTGCTCTGCCTCTTGCAACGAGCTGGCTGTGATGAGCCCGGCATTCAACATCGACTCTCCATTGCGGATCCAGCCCAGCACCTGGAACGTCACACAGGTTCTCAAAGCAGCCGCCCTCCCCACGCGACCTCTCCGTGGACCCACAGTGACCAGACCCGTGTGTACAAGGAGGTCAACCGCTTGCCTCAGCTCTGAGGTGTTGAGTTCTTTATGATCCTAATAGCAACAGCATGAATTCCTTCAATGGTATCTGATCATAAGTACTGCATTTTAAAGTTAGCTCCATTATTTTTAGTTTCAAATGGGATCTGAAAAGGCGGAGCATCCAGTGGATCATTATTAGTCCACAGGTCAAAACAGATCGAGGACCACATAACAGAAAAACCTACCTCCCCCAAGAATTCCCTAACATTCAAGAAAAGTAGTTTTTATTCCTTTTTGTCCCAATAAACATGCAAAATTAGCAAAGTGATTGATAAGGGAACTATCTTATTTCATTAACACACTTTCCAATTTAACATCAGTATTAAATGGCACACTACTGAAGAATGAATTAAGCAGTACTCTAATGCCCAGGGCCAGCCCACGGGATTCTCAGTATCACACACAAAGGGATCCAATTCCAACTGCCAAAGCCACAGAGATCGTGGAAGGTCATTCTAGGTAGTTGTTTGTGGCAGGGACCACTTGTTACCTGCCCCAAACCTACTTTTTTGTCTCCTTCACTCAGAAAACCCTACTTTTTGGGGAGAGCTTAAAATAAAACCACTCTCAGGTTGGTTACAGATATGACATGATTCTAGGTATTAAGATCAAAGCAGTAGCCTCAGGGGGTGGGGGATTTTGTGAAAAAAATCTCTTTTCTGATACAGGTATTGTTTCTTTCTTGTTATGCTTTCCCCTTCCTGATGCCTGGAATGTGGAAGTGCCTGATGCCTTGAAGTTTGTGGCTACAACATCCGTTTGGCAACCGTGAGAAAGATGGGAAAAGCTGCCATCACCAGATGTCAGCTTAACCTCTCACGGGACCACTGCATGAATGCAAGCGATCTTCTACCTCCTGATTCATAACATGGAGAAAATAATTTTAAGCGCCATTTATGGACTCTGTAGTAAGAGGCTGCCATTAACAAGACAAGCTAAATGGAGTTACTCTCAAGTGATACACCTGCTAAGAGACAAAGCCTTTCCACTACTGAGCAGGCACACAGCTGTCCAGCATTGGCACAATTTTTACACATTAGCAATGGCTGCATTAGGGTGTGAGTGTGTTACAACTGCACATCAGGACAGGGGCAATCTTTCCCAAAGCTTACAGGTCTGGATTCCCAGGAGGTCACTCATCAAGTGCTTGCCAGGTGGGTGCAGTCCGGCTCCACATCCATCTGCTTGCTTACCTGCTTCACTTCTGCCTGCAGATGGCGGAGTTGCACACACTGCTCCAGGTGCTTCCGATGCTGTTCTGCGGCTAAATCCAGCTCCTGCTGCTTTTCATGAAGAAACTCCAGCAAGTCCTGGACCCGAGTTGCCATGTCTACATCTCTATCGCAAAGCAGCTCCACACCTGCAGACATAGAAAGCAGACCTGAGAATTCAACTAGCATTTCAACCTGGGATACATGACATATACCCTGCTTTGTGTACAACCTGGTCAGCGGGGGGCTAAGCCATTACTTGAAGGCCAAGTTCAAGAAGGGCATAGCCAGCAGAGGAGTGTTTACAAATGCCTCCAAGCATGCAACTGTACCTCAGAAAAAGTATTTGATGTGTTCCAAAGCCAAATACAATGTGTAGCTAATAAAACTAAGTCCATTTCCTATCAATCTACTTCTACTCCCATGCTGATGACTAGTAAAAGTATGGCATCCTTTATAAATGAGTGAACTTTGATTTTTTTTGTTGTTGCTATTAGTTGTACACCCAGTTTACTCCTTAGGAAGCATTTAACTTGACTTGTATAAAATGCGTAATGATGTATGTAGGTTGTTGCTAAGTTCTGATATTGCTGTGGTCTCTCTGTATTTTTGAGCCCATGGTGACATCTGCTGGTAAAACAGAAACTAAGAAAAAAATATGAAAATGTTTTCTTAGTATTTATGTTTCATTCATGGAGATAAAACAACATAGAATTTGCAAAATTAAAGTTCTTGCTACTTGAAATAACATGCTAAGAATATTAAAGAAAGTACACTATCACAATGTTAACTGTGATTATATTATGGTGAGGAAAAAACCCAGAATGTTTTCTTTCAAAAAGCAGGTATCTATAATACCTGTGTTCCGGGGGCTACCTGAACTTCACCCGCACCACAGTAAAACATACAGGACGAACTCCTGTGGTGCCGAGGAAAACCTGCTGTCTACACAGCTGGGACACGTTCCTTACCAGAGGCCTGCACTTCGTTGACATACTGCAGAAGGTCTTGCCCTTGGTGGATGACATCAAAGGTCAGATTATTCATGGTCAAAGCCTTGTCTGCGTGGTGCTGGAGGCGCTGTTCTGCTATAGTGAGATCTTCTGTGTCGAAGTCATTCATTTGCTGTGAAAGTTCATCGTTCCAAGACTCAAGGTCTGAGATGATCTGATGGAGGAAAATATCCACTTAGGACCAAGACTTAAAAAAGTAACTATCCTGCTGCAACGTCTCACTGTGCAAAGTGAGGAATGACAAGACTGATGTGATTGTGTCTCCAGGACATAAAGGCCAGCTGAAGGGGCTCCCACCGGCCACAGATGGGACAATCAGACACTAAAAACATTCCCACAATCAAATAAAATAGACCAAATATATAAAAATTCACTAATAACTAAAGATGTTAAACAAAAAAAAAAGAAGGCTAAAAAGCCAAATATTAAGTGAAAATCTCTGGTTCTGATTAGAGGTTGACAGGGTACAAGCCTTTATCCTAAAAATTGGTAATTATAGGAGAAAATTAATTACTTAAACATGATGAAGGGAAGGATTTCTTTATGGAAACATCTATTAAATGTAGAAAGAATAATGAAATTACAATTTTTTTTGAAATTCTAGCAAAATAACAGTTCAGGCACTGATCATCAATGCACAGAAAACTATAATGAGAAAGGCTGACAGGGCCTTAGCAAAGATGAGGTGCCACCTCTAAACCCACAGACCAACCTAGCATCCCTAGAGGAGTGGGACCGGACAGGATGTGCCTTCCGTCAAGAGAAATGGCGACGCACCACCTGTGGAGCTTCTCATACAAAACCTGAATCTGAATCTAATCAGGTCTTTACACATAATTGCAAAGTTCACAGGAAACATCAGCAAAGAAAAACAGTTAAACCACCTTGAAGAAATCAAGTGAGCAAATGCAGAATGTGGGACCTGGTTTCTCTGACAACTGATGCAGCGATTCTGACAAGTCATGGGATGGAAGAAAGGATGGGTGGATGGAGAGACATGCTGGAGGACAAAACTAACCATCCAAGGCAGGCGCAGACCCCACGTGTAGCCCCTTAATGGAAGCACCTGCAGAAATCTGAACAGAGGTGGGTATTAAAGGATGCCTTCCAAGGAAGGCCTGTGGGCTTGGTGAGGGGCTTAGGGACTTGTGGATAAGTATGAAAATGGCCTTATTCTTCAGAGGTATTTAGAAACACCTACAGAAGTGAAATATAAGTTGGCAAAGGTGTTCTCTGAGGTAAAACAGCACAAAAACAAAAGAAGGGATATTGCAGTAAGGGGGACAAACTCCTGTTGAATCTGGGAGACAGGGATGTGGAAGTTCATTGACCTATCCTGGCTACTTTTGTGTAGCTTTACAAACTTTCATAACGTACTTTCTAAAGTTTAAGACCAGAAGTTATACAATCAAGAAAGGAAGAAAAACCTTTTTGTGAAACAATATATTATATATACTTCCAAGGAATAACATTTTCCATGGATCCCAATTTATTACATCCAGATGAGCAGTAACTAAAACAGTTTGAAAATTTGAGTATGTGTTTACACAGAATCCAGCTGGGAGATAGTAAGTAATAAAAGATTTCAGGCTTCCCAAACACCTATGGCACAAATCTTCCTGATTTATTCTCTTATTACTGGGGTTTGTATAATATGTATATGTTATGTTAATTTACTAAATTGTACTAACTTATAAAATTAATAAATTTACATACTGTCAAATTAGACATAAACAAAAAAGCCACTGAGGAAAAATATTTCTAAGAAGGAAACAAACTATCGTATATTTCATCTTTACCTCAACCCTAAGGGGTATTTTCTTTCTTATTATTTGCTTTCTGACACTGAGGGAGAAGAGATTTAGGTGTAGTGGGATACAGACTCAGCAACGATGTCTCCCAGAGACAAAATCAGGTTCACAACACTCAAGTAATGGTTAATAAAAAAGATTAATGTGCTAAAACCAGAAGGATTTAAAAACACTCACCAAGCATAAAGAAACTCTCTGGCAATGGCCACAATCAAAAGCTCATCAGAAAAAATCTTGCTTCAAAGTTTAATATTAAAGCCTGTTCACCACACAAGCAAAGACAAGAATTTTATGGCAAAAACAAAGCTCTGGAGTGGGAGTCATTTTTGAATACTGATTATTTGGAGAAGTAACTTTGAAACAATTTTTTAAAATGTATCCCAGGATTTTTAGAAAGTGTTTCTTTCCCAAGCATATACATTATTATTACTATTTTCCATAACTAAACTCTTCCAGGATGCTATATTATGATTTTGTCCTTTATAGGTCAATAGAGTAGATTCTTCTTGGAATAGCTCGAGGCTGAGTAGCAATATTCTAAGCCATGGAGAAACTTGACCCACTTCTGAGAAATGGAAATGCTACTCCAATGGAAAGATGAGAGACAGGGGATTTTTAAGAAGTTAGCCAAGGAACAGATGAATTTCTACCATAAGGATGACTCCATGCCTCCTATGTGCAGTCAGGAGGAGCATTTTCCCAGATATGGGAAGAAATCCCAGCTGAGGCCAAAACTGTTCGGGTTTTCACATCTCAGGATTATTCCAGAGAAAGGAGGTTCTTAGTCTTTGGCATTTTTTAAAAGCTTTTAAATTGTATTTTAGCTGGCCTGTGATTGAACTGCAGGTTTAATTTCCTTAGCTCAAGAAAAGTACTTCCCCTGGCCTGACACACCAGCTTTACTGAGGCCACTTGGAGTTTTGTGGCTTTAGTGTGGGTTCCGCATTGTAAAATGTACATTTTAAAACCCTGGTTCATTGAAAGTGGAAATAAAAATTAAAAATTTTTTCCCTTTGAAGTAACATTAATACAAATGAAGCTAAGAAATTTTTAAAAAATATACACCTGCCCTGAAGAAAAACTTCAAATAATGTTTCTGATCGCTGTGTGTTTCTGAACTGAAAGTATTCAATGAGCAGGTAAGCTTACAAAGCAATTCCTCTGAAGTAGAGAGGAAAACAGACCTGCCAGGGGCTCTGCTCAGATACTGCGGCCACCTCTAACCCGGATGCCAGGTCTAGTCCGTGGCAGACCCCAAGTGAGCTGAGGCCAGCACCTGTTCTCCACATGGCTTCACACAGAAACAAAGGCCAAGACTCTTCAAGCAGGTTTTACCAGGCCACGTGTAGAGTTTAACTCCTTTCTTGTCAGGAACTAACGATGACAATGAAAATAGCCACGAAGGCCTGTCTGTCACAAAAACATTTATGGAAGCTGAGGCAAGTGGCCAAAGGCCATGAGAGAGGCCTGCACAGGGCCTGGCCCTGCACCACACAGGAAGGCTGCCCTTAGAGCAGGAGCTGTGGACAGGCTGGAGAGGCCCACCAGGCCCACTCCTGGCACAGGAGCCCCTCAGCTGAGCCACGGAGGGCAATCTACACAGAGCCTTGCCATCTGTCTGCCTTTGGTAGCACTTGGGGTCCGGATAAGAAATAAACATGGGGAGGGCATGCTCTGTGTGGGCAATCCCACGGGCCCCTGGGTGGCTTGGAAGTGGCTGCACCGGCGCTCAGTCACCGCCACCAGCTGCCTGCAGCTGATGGGCCCTGGGAAACCAGCCACACCTGGGCTGAATGAAGTTTTGGTTCCTAGAAGAAAAACTTCAAATAATGTTTCTGATCGCTGTGTGTTTCTGAACTGAAAGTATTCAATGAGCAGGTAAGCTTACAAAGCAATTCCTCTGAAGTAGAGAGGAAAACAGACCTGCCAGGGGCTCTGCTCAGATACTGCGGCCACCTCTAACCCGGATGCCAGGTCCAGTCCGTGGCAGACCCCAAGTGAGCTGAGGCCAGCACCTGTTCTCCACATGGCTTCACACAGAAACAAAGGCCAAGACTCTTCAAGCAGGTTTTACCAGGCCACGTGTAGAGTTTAACTCCTTTCTTGTCAGGAACTAACGATGACAATGAAAATAGCCACGAAGGCCTGTCTGTCACAAAAACATTTATGGAAGCTGAGGCAAGTGGCCAAAGGCCATGAGAGAGGCCTGCACAGGGCCTGGCCCTGCACCACACAGGAAGGCTCCCTTAGAGCAGGAGCTGTGGACAGGCTGGAGAGGCCCACCAGGCCCACTCCTGGCACAGGAGCCCCTCAGCTGAGCCACGGAGGGCAATCTACACAGAGCCTTGCCATCTGTCTGCCTTTGGTAGCACTTGGGGTCCGGATAAGAAATAAACATGGGGAGGGCATGCTCTGTGTGGGCAATCCCACGGGCCCCTGGGTGGCTTGGAAGTGGCTGCACCGGCGCTCAGTCACCGCCACCAGCTGCCTGCAGCTGATGGGCCCTGGGAAACCAGCCACACCTGGGCTGAATGAAGTTTTGGTTCCTTTCATCATGTTTCACAGGCAGATTGAGTGTCACTCAATTATACTTAATTCTGCTTATACTTCATCAAGTTCAAAAACAGTATCTTCCCTGGCATAGTTAGTTACTACCCCTTCTTGTTCAGAAAAAGAAAAGAAATCTGTACTTCTGTCTTCTAATCAATATAAGGTGCAAGAGTCAATTTTTAGGTAGGGATTTTAGATCACCTAAGAACACTTCTCTGAGAAAAAAATTGGATGTTCTACTACGTAAAAATGCTTTCACCACAGGATAGGTTCATCCTCACTCTTGGCGGGGAAAGAGGGGAGGGAGAGACAGGGAGAGCGTGGCCTTCAGCCAATGCCTCCCTCTGCCGCAGGGCAAGGGGCGCCCAGGCAGGACCCGTCCAGGCTGACACAGCGGAGGCAAAGGTGAGCCGTGTTGGTCTGCATGCAGCAGCTCTGCCTGGAGTCCGCACTGAAGCTGCTGTCGCTGTCCTGCTGTGAGGCCTGAGCCAGTCCCCCACCTCCCTGGGATGAGCCAGGAAGAACTTGGCCTTCCTTCCTCTGTCCTCCTTCCGCAGTGGGAAAGGGCACAGGAACTGGAAGGGGAAAGGGCACAGGAACTGGAGGGGGCAGAGGCCGAGGTGGGGCACACGGGGCGCCTGGTGCGGGTCACTCACATCAATGGCATCTCGCTCGAATATGCGCAGCTGCAGGAAGAGCTCCAGCTTGATCTTGCGCTCCTGGAAGAGCTCCTCCATCTGGGCCTGGGCCTCGTCCAGCTGCTGCAGCACCGTCTCGATGTGACTGATGGAGCTGTTGTGGGGGGTCTTGTTGCTGGAGATCGCGGAGTCCCTGCGAAAGAACAAGGGGGCCGGGACCTTAGTGCGACAAACAGGAATTGGAGAAGAAGGCCTCACACTGTCAGACCCCAGATCTGGCAGCTCAGACTTCAGCGGGAAGGTGGCCGGCAGGAAGCAGGGCTGTTCGTCTCAGAAAATGGAATAAGCTGCCCCCCCTGCAAAACAACACCAGCTTCCTCCCCCGCCACGCCTGCAGGTCTGAGGTACTCGGAGAGTCTCCCCTGCCCCTGGCCTCTGGCATACAAGTCTAGTAAGTACATAAAATCATTTTAGTAGAACTTCATTTTTTAGCCAGTTTTCTCCTTAAGTGGAGAGAAGAGATGATACCTGTTTCCTATAATCAGCAATCACATTGGTCTGAGGGGTTAGACTTTAATTCAGTCAATTAAGCCTTTATCAATTCATTTTTGCCTGCTTCTAAGCAAAGCGAGCAATTCGTGAAGTTATCAGTAATGATTCTATAAACTGTGCTCTCAGAGATACAGCAGGAGGATGACATTTACATAAATGTCCCTGTGATCCAATAAAAGGGATTAGCTTCCAGCCCCAGCACTGCCTCCTGCCATCCTGCCACCGGGAGCTCCTGGGGACAGGAGCAGCCCCGAGGTCTGGCCCACCTCGAGCCTCAACTTTGAGAAGACAGATGCCCCATCACACTCTGGAGCTGCTGGATCTGGGGCCTGAGGGACACGGTCCTCGGTGCTTAAACTAATCTGTCCATGAAGAAATCTGAATAATTACTATGTAGATACTACAGAAATAAAATAGATATAAATAGAAATAAAAGCTGAATTCTGTGAAGGCTTATCAGTCAATGCTATAATGAAAAAGGTTATAGAGTTAAACTTAAGGGAGATAAAGGGGAAAGAGAAAGAGATGTTAGTCTCCTGTGTGTTCACAGAAGTTACCTGTTGTCTACCTGGCAGTGTGCAGTTACAGTTAACTGTTCGGAAGCATGAGGGAAAGGGGAATCGGGAGGACTTCCCAGTGCTTTGCTCCAGGGAGGGCAGGGGCGGGGTGGGGTGGGGCGCAGGCCCACCTCAGCTGCTGGATGAGGTCCTCCCCCTCCTTGATCACGTTGACTGTGACCTGCAGTGTCGTCTGCTGCTGTTGACCAAAGCGCTTGATGAGGTCCTGCACGGCCTCCACCGACTCGGCGTACACGTCATCCAGCAGCTCCTTCTGCAGCTCCTCCAGCCACGTCCACAGCTGGGGAAGGACAAAGCACCTGGTGAGCCAGCCCTGCCCCGCTGCCCAGGGGAGTCCCAAGACCGAGGCAGCCCAGCTGCGGACTGCTCCCAGGGCGACTGGAGGGAGAGGGAAGCACCCAGACAGTCCGACTGCGAGCGGGACACACACGCAGAAGAGGCAGTGTGCAGCCGCTGCATGGGGACGAAGTCGGGCAGAAAGCCCAAGGGGACTGCCGCAGAAGAGAAGAAAGGCAGACAAGTTGCTCTTTCCAATTCTAGGCTTGGTCTGAATGCAACAGAGGTAAGAAAAGGCCCCCTCCAATAACCAAAACATCTGCTAAACACAACAGGTATTCTTTCACACATCTTCTGACTCTTATTTAGCATATGGATAGTTTTATTTTTAGCAAGGGCATTACACTCCATTATTAATTATTAAACCACTGTTCAGATGTGTGTACTTTACATCCCTCAGAAAAGAAGGAAGCAGATAATGTGGTGCAATAAATTCATCACCATACCAGACGGGAGACTGGGATGTGGCACTGCTGGGTACACACCCCACTCAGGCCCTGGTCAGCCCGGCCACAGCTTAGCCCTTCCATGACAGAGCCTGCAGAGTGAAAACACTCCAACACCTTCATTGCCACGACCATTAAAAATGTGTCCAGAAAGTTGGACAGGGTAAGACAACTTAGAATAACAGTGGCAAGAACTACTTCAGGCCTGGTGGTCGCAGAGCATTTCAACCAATTCTAGAAAGTCTGCTACCCCACCAGATCTCTGGGGAGCCTTTCGTGAACTGAGAAAGACAAACCCAGCTGGCCCTGGTGGCTTGGAAGTGGTTGGTATTTGCAGAAAATGCTTCCTTCTTCCTCAGGGATGTAGGAGTCACCTCTTGTATCTCCCCCGTGTGCATCACAGGCAGCCACCTCGGCTATGGTGACCCAGGGCTAGTCACCAGCTCCTCCCAACACTGCCCAGCCACACTGGCCTCTGCGGCTAATCCACGACACTGTGCTGGTGAAAAGAAATTGTGCTGTATTTGGTCTTTTGTTTCTGAGCTAACCTTCTTTGAGAACTGTTTTACTGAGTATAACCAACATAAAATAAGTTGCACAAATGTAAAGTGCACGCTTTGGTAAGCTTGGATATATGTATACACCCCTGTAGAGGTCACTGCTTCCCAGACAGTGAGTGTGAACCACTCCATGGCCCAATTTTTCTTGTGCCCTTTGTAGCCCTCTGCCCTCTCTTCCCAGGCAATAAGTGATCTCCTTTCTGTCATTATCCATGAAACAGTGAGGAATCATACAGCATGCACCCTTTTCTGAAGCGTGGCTTCTTTCATTCAGCATAATTATTTTGGGGTTCATCCATACTATTTTGTGTATCAACAGTTCATTCCTTTTTATCATGGAAGAGTTTTCCATTCTGTGGATATGCCACAATGTACCCACTCGTCTGCGATGGCACTGGTGGTATTTCCCGTGTTGGGCCATGACAAATGCGGCTGCTACGAACACTGGCGTACAGCCTCTGAGCACACTCACGCTTTCCTTTCTTCTAGGTAAATATCTAGGTGTAGAGTGGCTGGGCCATATGATGGGTGTATATTTCACTTTTTAACAAACTCCTGAACTGTTTTCCAAAGAGGCAGCACCATCTCACACTGCTGCCAGCAGAGCAGGAGCGCTCCAGCCCCTCCAAACCCCACCAACACCGGCGCGGGCGGTCTTTACAGGCGCAGCCGATCCAGGTGAGTGGTACCACCACGGTGTCCATCAGCAATCCCCTACTGATGGGCAGTCACAAATCCAACCACTTAATTCTCTCCCTCGTCTCAAATCCTGCCTTAATACACGGGCTGTGCTGAGGCTGGCTCTGCCCCGTCGCTGTGTGAGAGAACCCAGAACAGGGGGCCCCTGGAGGACGCCTGCTGGTGGGTCAGCCCTGGCAGCTAATTGACAGGCAGGAAGTGGAAGGCATGGAGGCTCACTGCATATTAAACTGCCAATTCTTCAGAGACAGTGCTCCTTCAGGGGAGCTGAATGACTTTAGCAAATGTACTTCCAGAAAAGAGTGAATATAGATTAGCGTCAATATACTTCATTCACTATAATCCAAACAGAGCAGCAACGCTGAGAACAAAGTACAGGAGCCAACTCCACCTCAGATGTCGGCTCTGCATCACAGAAGGCGTCTGATACACGGGACAGCAAGCGAGCCCTTGGGGACCCTGACACTGACCCACAGAGGGCTGGGGCCAATGAGGGTCTTTGGTTTCAGTTACACTATACTCATAAGAGCTAGGCTCTCATAACACTAGCAGAAGTTATCATTTCTTCTTCTAAATTTGTTGAAAAAACAGAAACACATGTTTTTTAAAAGTCCACTAGAAAAATGCTGCAATATCAACAAAATACAACATGAATTAAGAGGGGGGCAGAGACCTTGCCCATCCCGGGTAAGACACACCTAGTATTATACGTGTCCCAGCCACCTTCCTGGGCTGAGTGTGGGCAGGTTGCTTACCTGGGTCCACATCGGTTTTCTCACCTATAAAACAGACTTAGTAATAATGCCCACCTCAAGGAGCTACTGGGAAGGCTTCCTAAGATGATATATGCAGAGTGAAGAAATAAGTATTATGTCAGCCACTCATTCTTTTGATCTTGTAAGAAAAATTCTAATAAGAATCACAAAGCTTTAAAAATCTTTTTCCTCTATTTTTCAAAACATACCCCAGTTCCTACCAATTGTTCAAAATATGTCACTTAGATAAACTTAACACCATTCCACATTTAAATCTTTTTATGCCTAAAAATAAGGTGCTAGAATTAGCCCCTCAGAGTCTATAGAAATCACTTCCTCTTGCTTCCAGGGGAAGTGCCGTAAGTGTCTGTGGTTGAAACCCTTTCCTTTCCTGCTGGTAATTTTTTAAAGAACCAGCTTATTTCCTCAACATCCTGGACACTCCAGCATACATCTGTGGTGGCGTGCGCTTACCTTGCCTGGCCAGCTGTGAACCTGGGAGGGGCACAGCTGCGGAGAAGACCACAGGATTCAATCCCAGGATCAAGCCATTGAAAAGGCAAAAATAAATGAGGTGGAAGGACCAAGGTTGCACTGAACTCCATGATGTCAAAATAGCCAGAGGTCCTTGGCGCCCCTTTAGAATTTTTCTGTCTGACCCAACAGGAAACATTCTCATTCAGTTTGGAGAAAAGTCTCAGATAAAGGTCTGATGTCACCCGTAATAGACTGATGCATATCATAATGCAATATGATTCCGGCAAAGTCTATTTTTAAGCTTTTAAATTGGTATATATGATGCCTAAAATAAGCCTGAAGTAAAGAATGAGAGAGTCTCTAGCAAGCCTGAATTTTTACCACAGTTTTTACTATAATTTCCTAAGGATGAAAAATACCGCACTTCTTCTGCCCATGCTGTTAGTTCACAATAAAATAATTCCTCATCTAATAGCAAGAGGGCTTGCAGTCTATCCAAGGTCTTGGCAGCAGGCTGGCAGGCAGCCACAGCATGAGGCAGTGCTGCCCCCTAGAGGCCCTCCGAGCTCGGCCAGGAGCACTCCATGGATGGGAGCATGAACCAAGCCCGCAACTGGGCTGCCTGTTTGTACAGACCTGGTTCATGGACTAGGGTCCACAGAGAGGGCTGGGCTAGGGAGATGTGGAGTTCTGGGGAGAAACCTCCATGATAAACATGTAGGAGAACCCTGGCCCAGCGTCTGCTGGGTCTGACTGGTGTGCCCCCCACCCCAGTCCTTCCTCCAGGCCCCTGCACTAGGTGAGCCTGAAGGAGAAACCACAGCCCTGCTGGGAGAAAGCCCTGATAAGGCCTCTTCCTCCCTGACCTGCCAAAAGCGCATCCCTACACCTCCCCACCGTGAGACCCGGGAAAACCCTTGGAGCTCTGCCTTCAGCATTTTCACCTATGAAATGGGATCATCTTACCACATATACCTTCCTTAACTGGCAAAGCCAATTTGAGACTCAAATGAGATGCTCACAGATGTGTGAGTGTGCTCAACCGCTACAAGCACTTTGCAAACAGAAGCTCCTCCCCCTGGGATCTGCCTCCCTTCTCTGGTTTTTGACAAGGACAGCCACTCAGGTCCCAGTGGGGATGGGTGGGCTGTAAGTCAGCATGGGAAATATAAGCACCGCAGCAGGCAGCAAGCCAGGAGCAGAAGTGGGTTGTTTCAATGGCAACTTGCAGGCAGAACTGGGAGAAGGCACCTGCCAGGGGCCCAGAGTGGCTCAGCTTCAGGTCTAGGCAGGGATCAGAAGGGGGCCACCCCAGCCATGCAGAGCATGTTCTGAGGCCTGGGGTGACCAGCTGCTGAAGCAAATGCCTGTCACCCCTACTGAGTAAGGGTTTGAGGAGGACTTCATTCTGGTTGGGTGGATGATAAGAGATGCCTTAATATGATGAGAAGAAATTTATGAAGGATGTATTGGGGGTAGGCAGAAGCAGGCAAATCAAAGTCAGTATCATGAATACCGATGCCAATATGTGTGAGAGAGGAGAAAGGAGGAGAAGAAACCAGAAGCCGGTCAGGTTGCCCACGGTTAAGGGACCCGGCATGGTCGCTGCAGCATGGCAGGGTGGAGGCCTGCAGATGCGTGGTGGAGACCAGGCTGAGGCACAGGTGCTGTGGCTAGATACACGCTGACATGGAGATCAAGGTCAGAGTGGGAGCCTCAACTGCCCAGATATTTACACTGAATCTACTTTGTTAAAAACAGATTTTGAGGTGAGGAAATTTCTGTTTTCTATTACTTCCCCAACATTGTGGAAGAGTAAGACATATTCCCAGAGTTGTTGCATTTGGAAAAAGCTCCTCCCAGCCCCAGGTCATTTTGAGAGCAACAAGTGTCCCCCTGAAGGAGCCTGCAGCTCGTCAAAGTGTAATTCCTCCTTGACTCTGCAAGTTCCTGAAGAGGGTGACAATCCCGCAGCCTTCCTTCCCAAGGCTGAGACTATTCCTTGAA